TTGACATGTCTGCAGCAGAGAGAGGGAAAATTTGAACTTGGGATTTTGGTGCGAGAGTCTCAGTTATGGCTAAGCATTACTGCAGTACACTTGACTTCTAATAAAACTATGCCTTTCTCAGCAAATGGAGCCAAGGATTCTTTATTTAGAGGTTTAAGTGGTGATAGGTCTAACAGTTTTAACTGAGGGAACTGTTCACCGATTAGCTTTCTAAGGGGATACAAATTGCACAGTAAGGTAAAAGAAACAGAATTCAGAGTGCCACTCCTTTACTATTTTTCAGATTTTGGCGGGAAAATGACTCGTGAACAAGGACCTTTTTTTATAATAAGTCTCCATATCAAGATTTTATTGTGGGCACCCCTGTAGTTATCTCTGAAACCTAATTCTGTCTGGAAAGCGGAATGTCAGGTTTGAAATACCAGGGCCACCCGTTAAGTTCCAATTAAATTGATTTATTGCTCATGCCTACGCACAGGAATCTAGTCAAGTAACAGATAGCACTATTTTGGCACTAGAGAATTCAAGAGGGGCTGGACTTAAGACCATTTGTGGCAATATAGAGATTCTAGGCCAGTGGTGGCGAACCTATGGCACACAAGCCAGACGCGGCACTCAGAGCCCTCTCTGTTGGCACGCGCACCTCCGCCGCCAGCAGCAGGTCCATCAGGCCGCCACCGCCGCGCGGAGCAGGAGCCCTGCCCAGCACAAAGGAGGCGAAGCGGCCGACTAGCAAGCTGGAGTAGAGGTGGTAGAGCAGAGGTCACCAACTACTGTCGATTGGTGGACTGGAACAAAAGGGAGGGGGAAGCATTTTACATGTGTGCATACGAACACGGGGCCGCGAGCAAGCACCTGCTGCAAATGGGGGGCGGGGCTAGTGCCTGCATGATACTCAGTAGCCCTGCCCAGTTCTTACGTGCAGCGCCTTGTATCTGCACCTCGCGATGTGGCGGCGGTCGTTTTTGTGCCTTGCAGCAGGGTGGCCCATTTTTGCACCCCCCCGGGTTTTGCGTGCCAGAGGCGGCGCTCAGAGGCGCCTCCCTGCCCCCCCCCAATGAGGGCACCACATTGCTGATGCGGCCCTGGCACTTTGCAATAAATAAATGGGTTTTAGATTGCAGTTTGGGCACTCGGTCTCTAAAAGGTTCGCCATCGCTGTTCTAGGCTGATTCCTCTTTTGGCTCCGTCCTCACATTCCGCCATCCCTTCTCCAACAGGGGAAAAAAAAATCTAAGTCAATTAAGTTCTGGGCAGGAACAGGGATTCTTCATTCCCCCAAACTCCTGGATTTTAAGAGTATGTTTAGGAAGCTTGCTCGCCAAAGAGGACAACACTTAGCTCATTCGGAAAGAGGTCAAAAAGCATGGCAAGGACTCCTGGTAAATCCGATGAAGAATGGCTGAAAAAAGCAAAAGCTAAGGAGAGACATCAGTCTTGCAATATTCGAAAGGAAGAAGGTTGGAGTTAATTCTCCACAGTGCCCAAGGACAAGGCAGGTCTTGGCTAAAAGGCTGGACTAGAAAACTCTTAAGGTCTCTTCGAATCATAGGATTCTATGATTCTGCTGAGCAACTTCCAGGACATTACATCAACACTCAAAGAGCCACTTGGACCCGTTTCCCACCGAAAACAAAACACTGGGAGCCGCAAAACCCTTTTGATAATCTAAAATGAAGATAACACTGCATATATCCTTTTTTACCTTTAATGTATATATGTATGTACTGTGTATATATGTACAATTAGATGGCTACGAAAGGAGCTGTAACCCAACAGATCTGGAAGTAGAAGAAAGAAACAAAACCCAGAGATTCTTACCGAGAGAGGTCACATTTTCATAATTCTCCTGCATCACCTCCTTGTACAAGACTCTCTGACTGGGATCCAAGAGGGACCATTCTCCTTTGGAGAAGCAGACAGCGACCTCCTCAAAGGAAACGGGCTAGAAGGAAATAATCAGAAGCTTATTCAACCAGGGAAGAAACCAGGCAAAAATGAGTCATTTAATCAAAAGAAGCACCTATGTGGTGGATTGAGAGCAGTGGCCAATCAAAGACTGTATCCCCCAGTTTGCTGATAGGTGTTGTGCCTCCGTCTTGTGAGCCCCTCTTATCGGAGGAAGAAGGCTCCGAACATGAAGGAGAGGAGATGGCCAGGCCTCCCTCTCCAGGACCCTCCTCTTTGGCAATGCCTCAGGTGTCTCCCGACGGAGAAGAGATTGACCAGGAGCCAGGTGGGTCTGAGATTGGCCAGGAGCCAGGTGTGTCGGATAATGAGGAAGAAAAGTTGTGGCTGGATCCACGCCAGCGTAGAAGCGACAAGCGTGCGCAGCAGAAAAAGAGACGTGCCAGAGATTAAGCTGAGTCACTGGACCACACCCCACAGGCTATAAAAGGGTGGTGGTGGCCATTTGGACCTCTGTGACGGACAAAAGCTGAATCTCTGGCAAAGTAGTTTGCTGTGGCTTTAAACTGTGTGTATTGTTTTTGTTTCTGTGTGTTTGGAGTAAAAGGTCTTGGCAGGCAGCTATGGAGCTGCTGCCAAGTTTCTTATCTGTGAAGTGGTGTCTGGAGAAGTCTTTAACCCTCGGCTGGCTGTTTGGGTGTGTGGGTCGGAACGGGGACAGAACAATAGGTCTACTTGGGAACTAGACTACAGAGCTCCATGGTCAGGCAAGTGGGGGCAGCAGGACTTCCTGAAAATAGGAAAAGGACCACCCACAAACCTTCTGCAGCTCCAGCCATCCCATCAATGGTGGAAAAAGTAAGGTTCTACATTTAGGCAAGAAAAACCAAATGTACAGGTATAGCATAGGGCAGTGGTTCTCAACCTTCCTAATGCCGCGACCCTTTAATACAGTTCCTCATGTTGTGGTGACCCCCCAACCCCCCATCCAGCTGGCCAGGGGGGGGCAGGAAAGCTGCTCCACCCAGCCTGGTTGGAGAAGCGCCCAGGCGGGGAGAGGGAGAGAGAGAGACCGAGAGCCAAGAGGGCGACAGCGCCGTCAGAGCTTAGTTCAGCCTCCTCCGCGGAAAGGGCCGCGAAGCAGCGCAGCCTCCCTTAGGACAGGAGTAGGCAACCCAAAACACTCAAAGAGCCACTTGGACCCGTTTCCCACCGAAAACAAAACACTGGGAGCCGCAAAACCCTTTTGATATCTAAAATGAAGATAACACTGCATATATCCTTTTTTACCTTTAATGTATGTATGTATGTATGTATGTATGTATGTATGTATGTTTGTGTGTGTATATATAAAATAAAGGTAAACAAGGATATATGCAGTGTTATCTTCATTTTAGATGTCAAAACGGTCTCTCTCTGTCTCTCTCTTTCCTCTCTTTCCTTTCTCTTTCCTCTCTCCCCTCCCTCTTTCCTCTGTCTTTCTTTCCTCTCCCTCTCGCTCTCTTTCCTCTCTTTTTTCTCTTTCCTCTCTCTTCCTCTTTTTCTCTCTTTCCTCTCCCCTTTCTCTTACCTCTTTCCTCTCCCTCTTTCTCTCTCTCCTTCTTTCCTCTTTCCCTCTTTCCTCTTTTTCTCTTTCCTCTCCCCCTTTCTCTTTCCTCTCCCCTTCTTTCTCTTTTTCCTCTCTATCTCTTTCCTCTTCCTCTCTTTCTCTCTCTTTCCTCTCTCTCTTTCTCTTTTTCTCTTTCCTCTCTTTCTCTTTCCTCTCTTTCTCTTTCCTCTCTCTCTTCTCTCTCTTCCCTCTTTCTCCTTCTCTCTTTCCTCTCTCTTTTCCTGTTTCTCTTTCTTTTTCTCTTTCTCTCTTTCCTCTCTTTCTTTCTTTCCTCTTCTCTTTCTCTTTCCTCTTTCTCTCTTTCCTCTCTTTCTCTTTCTCTCTTTCCTCTCTCTTTTCCTATTTCTCTTTCCTCTCTCTCTTTCTCCCTCTTTCTCTTTCCCCTCTCTCTGTTTCCTCTTTCTCTTTCCCTCTTTCCTCTCTCTTTCCCTATTTCTCTCTTTCCTCTCTCTTTCTCTTTCCTCTCTCTCTCTTTCTTTCTCTTTCTCTTTGTCTTTCCTCTCTCTCTTCTCTTTCTCTTTCTTTTCTCTGCTCTTTTCCTCTTTCTCTCTTTCCTCTTTCTCTTTCCTCTCTCTCTTTCTCTCTTTCCTCTTTCTCTCTTTCTCTTTCCTCTCTTTCTCTTTCTTCCTCTCTCTCTTCTCTTTCTCTTTCCTCTTTCTCTTTCCTCTCTTTCTCTTTCTTTCACTCCTTCCTCTCTTTTCCTCTGTTTCTCTCTTTCTTCTCTCTTTCTCTCTTTCCTTTCTTTTTCTCTCTCTTTCCTCTCTTTCTTTCTTTCCTCTCTTCTCTCTTTCTCTTTCCTCTTTCTCTTTCCTCTCTTTCTCTTTCTCTCTTTCCTCTCTTTTCCTATTTCTCTCTTTCCTCTCTCTCTTTCTCTCTCTCTCTTTCTTTCTTCTCTTTCTCTCTCTTTCCTCTCTCTCTCTCTTTCTCTGTTTCTTTCTCTCTTTCTCTTCGTCTTTCCTCTCTCTCTCTTCTCTCTTTCTCTTTCCTTTCTTTCCTTTTTCTCTTTCTCTCTTTCTTTCCTCTCTTTTCCTCTTTCTCTCTTTCCTCTCTCTCTCTCTCTCTTTCTCTTTCCGATGTTTTTCCCGATGGTCTTAGGCGACCCCTGTGAAAGGGTCGTTTGACCCCCAAACCGGTCACGACCCACAGGTTGAGAACCGCTGGTATAGGGGGTACCTTGCTCAATAGTAGCAACTGTGAGAGGGACCTCAGAGTCCTAGTGGACAATCACCTAAATATGAGCCTGCAGTGTGCTGCAGCTGCCAAAAAAGCCAACACAGTGCTAGGCTGCATTAACAGAGGGATAGAATCAAGATCACGTGAAGTGTTAATACCACTTTACAATGCCTTGGTAAGGCCACACTTGGAATACTGCATCCAGTTTTGGTCACCACGATGTAAAAAAGATGTTGAGACTCTAGAAAGAGTGCAGAGAAGAGCAACAAAGATGATTAGGGGACTGGAGGTTAAAAAATATAAGGAACGGCTGCTGGAATTGGGTATGTCTAGTTTAATGAAGAGAAGGACGAGGGGGGACAGGATAGCAGTGTTCCAATATCTCAGGGGCTGCCACAAAGAAGAGAGAGTCACGCTATTCTCCAAAGCACCTGAAGGCAGGACAAGAAGCAACGGATGGAAACTAACCAAGGAGAGAAGCAACCTAGAACTAAGGAGAAACTTCCTGACAGTTAGAACAATTAACCAGTGGAACAACCTGCCTCCAGAAGTGGTGAATGCTCCAACACTGGAAGTTTTTAAGAAGAGACTGGACAGCCATTTTTTCCGAAAAGGTGTAGGGTTTTCTATCTGAGCAGGGGGTTGGGCTAGATGACCTCCTAGGACCCTTGCAACCTATTATTATTATTATTATTATTATTATTATTATTATTATTATTATTATTATTATTATTATTATTATTATTACCTGGAATGTCCCTCACCTGAGCCTGCTGGGTCAAAGCCAGCCCCCCTCCAGTCCTTCTGCAGGATTGGAGAAAGCGAAAGTACCCTGTGGATTTTTCTTGGACTCCTGAGGAAAAAGGAGAAAATATTGTTCAGAAGTTCAATCCATTCATCTGTCTGCACTCATCCACCCAGAAGGTTCCTGTTGCAACACAGGGGTAGAAGAGATAAAATTAGAAGAAAAAGTCAGATACTTGCAGATTGGTGGGAGAGGGGGAGCGGAGGGGGGAGATGAGGAAATGGGGGGAAAAAAATCATAGAAGAAACAGTCCGGGCGAAAAGGAATGATATAGCAGGAAATGAAAGTGAATGAAAACACCATCCTCTCAACTTTCCACCCAAAGCAGCGTTTCTCAATCAGGCAACTTTAAGATGGGTAGACTTCAACTCCCAGAATTCCATTGTCACCTGAGGAATTCTGGGAATTGAAGTCCACCCATATGAAAGCTGCTAAGGCTGAGAACCGCTGACATAAAAAAAAATAATTCCAACTTTATTTTTCAGTAAGCTCTGTCTGAAATTTAGCCTTTCATTTGATAAGAGATGTAGGCAACAAAGTAAAATTAATTGCTCCTGGTCTCTAAAAATGTTTAGCTCCAATAAATCTCACGGTCTAGAATTATTTACCTTCTTGGTTTTGGTTTCCTATGGAACTGATCGATTCGTAGAACCCATTAAATACTTAAGATACTTAAATATTTCGATAACTGGTTTGAGCATAATTGGTCTCCTTTGTAACACAATGTAAGCCTGTGTTATTTTACTTTATGCCTTTAAATATATTTTCTCTGAGGAGAGGGCCTCAAATTTTACCAGATTCTCAAGAAGATTTATGACACAGAAAGGTTTATAGATGCTTCATCTAAGCCAAGCCGTATCTGGAATGGCACAAATGATTAGGGGACTGGAGGCTAAAACATATGAGGAACGGTGGCTGGAATTGGGAATGTCTAGTTTAATAAAGAGAAGGACGAGGGGGAACATGATAGCAGTGTTCCAATATCTCAGGGGCTGCCACAAAGAAGAGGGAGTCAAGCTATTCTCCAAAGCACCTGAAGGCAGGACAAGAAGCAACGGATTGAAACTAATCAAGGAGAGAAGCGACCTAGAACTAAGGAGAAACTTCCTGACAGTTAGAACAATTAACCAGTGGAACAACCTGCCTCCAGAAGCGGTGAATGCTCCAACACTGGAAGTTTTAAAGAAGAAACTGGACAGCCATTTGTCTGAAATGGTATAGGGTTTCCTGCCTGAGCAGGGGGTTGGACTTGATGACCTCCAAGGTCCCTTCCAACTTTATTATTATTATTATTATTATTATTATTATTATTATTATTATTATTATTATTATTATTATTATTATTATTATTATTATTATTATTATTATTATTATTAAACTAAAGGGAACTTTGATCTACTCTTACTGAGACTGGTTATACTAGAACATACCTCAAGAAAAAAAAATACCTTTCAGAAAGAAATATATTCTATGCTACAACTAATTCACCAAACAATTGTTGAATGCAAAGAGGACATAAAAAGAAATCATGAGACTAAAAATAATTTAGACAATATAAATGAGCAAATCTCCAAATTAAATCTACAATTAGAAAGTTATTATTATTATTTCAAGTTCTAGAAGGTTTTGATTACACCAAAAGAAAAAACTGGCTCTGAAATGTTCAGCCTTGCATGTTGGTGTTTTTTTTTGGGGGGGGGAAGAACTTTTCTGGTGCTTTTCACTTTCTGACCTGCCTATACCAGCAAAATCATGACAAGAAATATATAAATATATATATTTAAAAGTAGGTTCATATGGTTTTACCAGGTAAAACATATGTGTCTGCCTCTTCCTCCATTTCCAACTTCAGCAATTCTGAAAGGGGAGAAAGATGAGAGGAGAGAGATCAGAATCCCATCACCCCCAATTTGAGCTTATAAGGGTTTACAGGTAGCCCTCGACTTACAACAGTCGTTCAAAGTTACAACGCAGGGGTAGGCCACCTTGGCTCTTTTATGACTCGTGGACTTCAACTCCCGGAATTCCTGAGCCAGCATGGCTCAGCTTGGAAACCTCTCCCTTTCCCCTCAGCATGGCTGGCTCAGGAATTCTGGGAGTTGAAGTCCACGAGTCATAAAAGAGCCAAGGTTGCCTACCCCTGGACTAGCTGAACTACACAACATTGTCTCCCGTTCGAGAAGGACATTGGACTAGATGACCTCCAACTGTTATTTTATAGTTTACTTCAGGGTTAGACAACCTTGGCTCTTTTATGACTTGTGGACTTCAACTCCCAGAATTCCTGAGCCAGCATGGGGGAACTATGGCCCCTTCATAACTTGCGGACTTCAACTCCCAGAATTCCTGAGCCAGCATGGGGGAACTATGGCCCCTTCATAACTTGCGGACTTCAACTCCCAGAATTCCTGAGCCAGCATGAGGGAACTATGGCCCCCTCATGACTTGTGGACTTCAATTCCCAGAATTCCTGAGCCAGCATGGCTCAGCTTGGAAACCTCTCCCTTTCCCCTCAGCACGGCTGGCTCAGGAATTCTGGGAGTTGAAGTCCACAAGTCATAAAAGAGCCGAGGTGGCCTACCCCTGTTACAACGGCACTGAAAAAATGACTTATGAGCGTTTTTCACACTTAACGACCGTTGCAGCATCCCCATGTTCACGTGATCAAAATTCAGACGCTTGGCAACTGACTCGTACTTGTGACGCTTACAGTGTCCCGGGGTCACGTCGTCCCGTTTTGCAACCTTCTGACCAGCCAAGTCAATGGGGAAGCTGGATACGCTTAACAACCGTGTTACTAATTTAACAACCTGCAGTGAGTCACTTAATAACTATGCAAAGAAAGGTGGTAAAAATGGAGCAAAACATCCTTAACAACAGAAAGTTTGGGCTCAGTTGTGGTCGTACGCCGAGGACTAGCTGCAGTGCCAGTGCTCCTGGGCTTAGATGGGGGAACCAGCCCTAATCCCCCTTGCAGTTTTAATGGTTGAGGGGGGAACCAGAGCCTGGGCCTCCCCACTCTTAGTCCAGCCCTCTTCCTCACTACCCAAAAAAGCTAATGCAATCCTGGGTTGTATAAACAAAGGCATAGAATCAAGATCACGCGAGGTATTAGTACCGCTTTATAAAATCCCTAGTAAGACCACACCTGGAATACTGCAACCAATTTTGGTCACCCTATCACAAAAAAGATGTTGAGAGTTTGGACAAAATTCAGAGAAAAGCAACGAAGATGATCCAAGGCCTGGAGACTACAACATACGAAGAACGGCTACAGGACTTGGGTTTGGCTAGTCTAGAGAAAAGAAGAAATAGGGGAGACATGATAGCAGCGTTCCAGTATCTGAGGGGCTGCCACCAAGAAGAGGGGATCACTTTGTTCACCAGAGCCCCAGAGGGCAGGACGAGAAACACTGGTTGGAAACTGATCCAGGAGAGAAGCAACCTGGAATTAAGGAGAAACTTCCTGACAGTGAGGACAATCAACCAGTGGAACAGCTTTGCCTCCAGAAATTGTGGGCGCTCCATCACTGGAGATTTTAAAGAAGAGGCTAGAGCAGTGATGGCGAACCTATTAGAGACCGAGTGCCCAAACTGCAACCCAAAACCCACTTAAGTATTGTCGGGTGCCAGGTGGGTGTGGCCCATTGGGTGGGCATAGCTGTGGTGGTAACGGCAGACTGGGTGGGACTAAAAAGTTCAATCAATCAATTCCAACTTCGCGAGATCTTTTTTTCCCCGCAAGAAATTGATTGATTGAACCTTTTTTTTTTGCACACGGCCGTGGAGGCCTAAAGCAAAAAGGTTTAATAAAACCCATCTGGAGGCCTAGGACTGGGGCGATG